GTTGCAACCAGAGTCACGGAACGGATTAAGTTCGTATCCCGAGGTACCACTGTACTTTGAACTTGCCCTATGATAGCCATGAAGAAACTTGACAAATGTTCTATATGTATACTATCATTACTGAAGCTGCATGGAATTGCTAAAATTTTAATAACTTGTTTAAAAGCGAGTCTACTAGCAATCTGAAATGGAATGGATTTGCCATTTGAAGAGTAAAATACAAAAAGCTTGGAGAAAAAAATGGTGTGGGAAACAAGTGGGAAAGAAACTGTTAAGATGTTATAAAATGGAAATGGAAAGTTCACTTGACAGAATAAAATTTACTGAAAGATGATAACTGCTGGATAGAGCACTGCAAGATGACTTAATGTTCTATCATGGAAGTAAAAATGATTATATTCTTAGTAAAGCTATTGAAAATAAGCTTAATAGTACCATATACACAATAGTGAAATAGCTTGATATTATCCATACAACATGGATATTTATTATTGGCCATGTAGCTTGATCTTTATTGGTACATAATTTGCTGCACATTTTATTTGTTTATTTATTTTCATTATTAAAGTAACTTACATGGCCACCCAACTCACACACAGCGACTCTGGGCCACTTACAGAATTGAAATCCACAATACAAAAAGCCCATCAACCCACCCCCATTTGCACTTCTACTCATCATTAATTTGATTGAATAAAATTCTAGAAGTCAAAGCATAGTATTCAGCAAGAAAGTATTTTAGCATTACAAATATTAAGCCTTCATGAACATATGGTAGTAAACAAAAAGTTGTTCTTAAGTTATAAATTTGCATATTTCATACAGCATGGTCTTTCTAAAATGAGAGTTGGCAGCCAATAATAAAAAAGGTAGAAGTATATATTCCAGAATATATCTCAGTTTGGTAGTATTTAGTGCTAAGACAGTTAACAAATACAATATAAAATAAGAATTATACTTGCTTATGTAATAGATTCCAGTTGGTGTCTTCACTGAATGCTCAACTTTAGTTACAGTCAGTAGTAAAGCCCTGTTCATAAGACCCAAGTGGGAGTGGAATAGGTATATCTTATTATCCTGGTGTTACAATAGCAGTATTATATGAAATTATATTTGAATCAATACAGTTAATTCCCTAGTAAGATCTTTTATCCAAATTTTCTTCTAGCAACTGCCACCTCCTTTACCAAGTAAAACACCGCCGCCGCCGCCTCCAAAGACCACACGGAAGCAGGCCTCTGTGGATTCTGGGATTGTCCAATGAAGAAGAAAAGATACCTTGAAAGACTAAGTTGTAAAATTTCTATGCCTTAAGTAAGTTTAAAATATTTGCAGTATTTTACATCATCCCAAATCAACAGCACGAAACATTAATTGCAATGATTCTCACATTCCAACAGTTATTAATATCTCTAGGTAAGGTTATGAAATTATTGAACTGAACTGCATTCCAAAGCAATCATGAGCTGTTTTTTAACTATAGTTCTGAATGGATTCTAGAACAATCAAAATATAGTTAAGAAATTGCATTTGCTTCTTTATCATTGTATTGGCATATGTAAGCCTTATGAAAAGAATTGTCCTAATGCTTGCAATGTAGTTTAGTATTATAATTGTATAATCTTTTATATTAAGGTATTAGGAAAACCACTTATCATGCTCTGGGCTTACATTAGTGTTGGTCTTTCATGCATCGATTGGTCCTTATTCAATCAATCACTGGCTAAATAAGTTTTTGCTTATATTTTAGTGCAGAATATATTTTAGGCTCCTGGGCAGGCATTAATTTACAGGGAATAGTATCTTATCTGCAAATGTAGAAATCTAAAAATATATAGGGACAAAAATGATGCTTTTGGAACAAAATCAATCTTAACATTTGTATTTGATTCACAGTTGTGTCACTGTGTACAGACATTATGTATATATTACGGTTTTACAGTGTCTTTAGTTTCACTCATCCTGCTTTTAAGTAATAAGTATATAGTGTATCTTTAAATGTGTTATGGTATTTTAAATATTGATAACTCTTAAAAATATATTACAAGCCTAACAGAGTAATTAAGCTCTGAAAATATTATGAAGAAAATCAGAAAAGAAACTAACTTTTTAAAAATGTCATTGTAACTTTTTAAAATCATCTACAAATTTTATAACCTGAACCATTGTTTTAATATTGCTCTGCCAAATAAAGAAATCTTTTAAAGTATTTCCCCTTTCTAAGAAAACAAAAATACTGGTTACTTTAGAACCTGTGTTTATATTTGTTTATTGGCTTAAATTCAGTAATTTGAATTTTCTTAGTGTCCCAAGATTTGTAACTACAAATAGACTTGGTTTGCCTGGATACAAAGAGGGAGTTAACTGTGAAATGCACTTGGCTTAAGAAAAGGGCCTCCAATTGATTTGAATACCTTCTCAACCCCTGCTACTACACCCTGCCAGATTCAGGACACTGGATCACTCACGAACAGCATTTGAGGAGATTCAGTTTTATGCAGGAAGAGTTTAGAAAGCACATTCTCAATACGTTTACTGGCAGTAATATACATTCACCCTTAGACCAAGTACTCAGCAAAGAAACCCTGGTCTTGCCAAGCATTTGTTGGGCGAAGAAATGAAGAGTCATGAAGGAACTGTGCATATTATATGAGTTTCTTGTATTTGCATGAGGAATGTATCTGTGATGGAGTGGAATTATGAAGGCCAGAT